TCATCTATAGATTCAAAACCAGCCATAGATTCAAAACCCATCTATAGATTCAAAACCCAGCTATAGATTCAAAACCCATCTATAGATTCAAACCCAGCCATAGATGCAAAACCCAGCCATGGATTCAAAAGCCAACTATAGATTCAAAACCCATCTATAAATTCAAACCCAGCCATAGATGCAAAACCCAGATATAGATTCAAAACCCAGATATGGATTCAAAACCTAGCCATAGATTCAACACCCAGATATAGATTCAAAACCCAGATATAGATTCAAAACCCATCTATAGATTCAAACCCAGCCGTAGATTCAAACCCAGCCATAGATGCAAAACCCAGATATAGATTCAAAACCCAGATATGGATTCAAAACCCAGCCATAAATTCAAAACCCAGATATAGATTCAAAACCCATCTATAGATCCAAAACCCATCTATAGATTCAAAACCCAGCCATGGACTCAAAACCCGTCTATAGATTCAAAACCCAGCCATAGATTCAAAACCCATATACAGAGCCAAAACCCAGCCATAGATTCAAAACCCATCTATAGATTCAAACCCAGCCATATATTCAAAACCCATCTACAGATTCAAACCCATCCATAGATTCAAAACCCAACCATAGATTCAAAACCCATCTATAAATTCAAAACCCATCTATAGATTCAAAACCCTGCCATAGATTCAAAACCCATCTATAGATTCAAAACCCTGCCATAGATTCAAAATCCAGATATAGATTCAAAACCCATCTATATATTCAAAACCCAGCCATAGATTCAAAACCCAGCCATAGATTCAAAACCCATCTATAGATTCAAACCCAGCCATAGGTTCAAACCCCATCTATAGATTCAAACCCAGGCATAGATTCGAAGCCCATCTAAGGATTCAAACCCAGCCATAGGTTCAAAACCCATCTATAGATTCAAGCCCAGCCATAGATTCAAAACCCATCTATAGATTCAAACACAGCCATAGATTCAAACCCGGCCATAGATTCAAAACCTATCTATAGATTCAAAACCGGCCATAGATTCAAAACCCATCTATAGATTCAAAACCCAGCCATAGATTCAAACCAATCTATAGATTCAAAACCTATCTATAGATTCAAACCCAGCCATAGATTCAAAACCCATCTATAGATTCAGAACCCATCTATAGATTCAAAAACCCATCTATAGATTCAAACCCGGCCATAGATTCAAAACCCATCTATAGATTCAAAACCCAGCCATAGATTCAAACCCGGCCATAGATTCAAAACCTATCTATAGATTCAAAACCCAGCCATAAATTCAAAACCCATCTATAGATTCAAACACACAAAACCCAGATATAGATTCAAAACCCAGCCATAGACTCAAAACCCATCTTTAGGTTCAAAACCCATCTATAGATTCAAACCCATCTATAGATTCAAACCCAGCTATAGATTCAAAACCCATCTATAGATTCAAAACCCAGCCATAGATTCAAAACGCAGATATAGATCCAAACCCAGTCATAGATTCAAACCCAGCTTTATATAGATTCAAAACCCAGCTATATATAGATTCAAAACCCAGCTATATATAGATTCAAAACCCAGCTTTATATAGATTCAAACCCAGCTTTATATAGATTCAAAACCCAGCTATATATAGATTCAAAACCCAGCTTTATATAGATTCAAAACCCAGCTATATATAGATTCAATACCCAGCTATATATAGATTCAAAACCCAGCTATTATATAGATTCAAAACCCAGCTTTTATATAGATTCAAATACCCAGCTATATATAGATTCAAAACCCAGCTATTATATAGATTCAAAACCTAGCTTTATATAGATTCAAAACCCAGCTTTATATAGATTCAAACCCAGCTTTATATAGATTCAAAACCCAGCTATATATAGATTCAAAACCCAGCTTTATATAGATTTAAAACCCAGCTTTATATAGATTCAAAACCCAGCTTTATATAGATTCAAAACCCAGCTTTATATAGATTCAAAACCCAGCTTTATATAGATTCAAAACCCAGCTTTATATAGATTCAAAACCCAGCTTTATATAGATTCAAAACCCAGCTTTATATAGATTCAAATTTAAAAAAACTTCTAAAGACTCCCTCTCAAAAAAGAAAAAGAAAATTAGACCGATTCAGGATAGGTGGGTGTGGCTATAGCATGAGAATTATCTCAAATTTACTTGGATACGAGTTTTCATTTTCAAAAAAAAAAATCAATAACTGTCTATTTCAGTGGGACTTAAATGTGACAAATAACATGCTAGTCACAACAGTGGTTGTTGATTATCATGACCTAGCGCTAACAGTGTTATTTAATGTGTCATCAATCCTACTATGACCGGAAGAAGCTCAGCGTCTACAAAGCGTTCAAAAATGTCAAATTATATTGCAACGGGCATGTGGCTGACCTGCAGTACATGGCGATTTCCGAAATAAAGTATCACATATTGAACTGAAAGCTTGACATATGTCACGTGACTCAACCGGTTGCTAAGGTTGTTAGCAACTTAAATCTCTGATTACTTAGGTTGTAGCAATTTAAATCTCAGATTGCTTAGTTTGTAAGCAACTTAAATCTCTGATTGCTTAGGTTGTAAACAATTTAAATCTGATTGCTTAGTTTGTAAGCAACCTAAATCTCATATTGCTTAGGTTGTAGGCAATTTAAATCTCTGATTGCTTAGGTTGTAGGAACTTAAATCTCTGATTGCTTAGGTTGTAGCAACTTAAATCTCAGATTGCTTAGGTTGTAGCAACTTAAATCTCTGATTGCTTAGGTTGTAGCAACTTAAATCTCAGATTGCTTAGGTTGTAGCAACTTAAATCTCTGATTGCTTAGGTTGTAGCAACTTAAATCTCTGATTGCTTAGGTTGTAGCAACTTAAATCTCTGATTGCTTAGTTTGTAAGCAACTTAAATCTCATATTGCTTAGGTTGTTTAAAATGATCGGAAGGCTTCCTCTGTTTTTGCAGGTGGTGGTTTGCCCGATCGTACCGTAATTCTCTGATTGCTTAGGTTGTAAACAACTTAAATCTATGATTGTTTAGGTTGTAGCAATGTAAAAACCGTTTTTGACTCCCGTGTGAAGCTCACAATGGCAGTCTTTGCGGTTAGTCTCTCTTTATGTGTGTCTGTTCATTCCACTGATATCTCAAGAACCGTATCTTGGTTTTTAATGCTAATGCGCAGATTTGATTAGGTTTTGGTTGAAAACCATGCATATTAATTACCTAATTTACATGATAATTAGCTAATATTTAGCTGTTACTTGTCTGTTCTACTGATATCTAAAGAGCCATTTCTTGGATTTTGATGAAACTTGGTACATAGATGCTCTGGACTAATGCACAGATTTGATCAGTTTTTGGTAAAAATCCTTGCATATAATTCATATAATTTGCATAATGATTCGTCAGTTTTCGACTTTTCCACTGATATCTCAGGTACTAATCATCACATTTCATAGGACAATGCACAGACAGATATGTGAAATATTAATTACCTAATTTGCATAATTAATAAATTTTCAGCTTTTGATATTTCAAGTACTATTACTGCATTACACTTTTGAGTGAAACTTAGTACATAGATGATCTAGATCAATGCGGAGACCTGATTAATTTTGGGTAAAATGTGTGCATATTAATCAACTAATTTGCATAATTAGTTAATTTTTAGATATCGCAAGTACCAATTATCCCATTTCAATGAAACTTGGTACATTGATGCTCTAAACAATGCACAGACCTGCTCAGTTTTGGGTTAAAATCAGATCATATTTATTACCTAATTTGCGTAATAATTCATAATTTTTTTATTCTAATCGCATTTCAATGAGACTTCGTACATAGATGGTCTGTGACAGTACTCATCTTAATTCAATGAATCTTGGTACATATGTACTCTAACACAATGTAATGATCAAATTAGTTTTAGGCTCGTATACATCTATAATAATTACCTAATTTGCATAATAATTTACTTTTCAGCTTTCAACTAATTTAGTTAAGATTAATCATAGTTTAATGTTGATAAACATGCATATTGATTATCTATTATTAGCCCATTTCTGATATCTAAAAAATCAGATTTAAATTCATCACAGAGTTGCTCTGGAATTAATTATAATAAAAACCGTGGATGAAAAATCAAATGTATTTTCTATGTCTATAACTATTAGAAATTTTTATAATGTGAATCACATTGTTTTCATGTTGTGTATCTTAAATATCAGACAAATATTAGTTGCCAAGCTTTTCGTTTGAAAAGCAAATCTCAATTTTGAATTAATTTTAATGTGTCCCCAATACTCTCTCAGCACATGGGAGTTCTTTCTAAGCTTTCTTTGATTCTATTTTTGACCAGTGGGAGAGCTATGGATGATGTAATAAGTGAAGCCCTGACAAAAATCAATGACATCACTGAGCGATGCCTGAAGAAAATTGCGATTGAGTTAGAAGATGAAGATCCATACATGTTCTTGAGAGCGTACACTGCTGGACTTCAGGAGTATATTGAGGCTGTGACATTTTTCCATTATCTGCAAACTGGTAAATTAATGAGCTTGAACGAATTTCAAAAGTCGTTAACATTTACTGTGGATTCAAAATCTGAGGTGAGTACAGCAGTTTGTTGCTACAAATACAAATTACAAGGTGTAACCGACAAATGCTGTCCAATATACCACATTTTCAAAAAACCCAGGATGGATGCAAGTTGGCTGTCTTTGATTTGATTATGGAACAAACTGACATAAAAATATATTACTTTATGTATGATGTATGTGCCAAATATGATTGAAAATGATCCATAAGCCTTGGAGATATAGTACGTACAATGTAGACTCCGGTCAGTCAAAATGACTATTTTGAACTGTAGGCATTAATCAGCGATTATGCCAATGATGGAGAGATCAATCTAGGTCAGGGGAAGCCCCATGATCCCAAGATTTTCCCTTACGTCACAAACCACGTGACCGAGGTAATGTGGTGACGCCATTTTACCTCTATCTTCACTCTTTCTTCTTCTCCGCACCGACGGGAATGAAGCCTAGCGGCTCTGCCTGGAAGACCTGCCTGTTCCTATCCGGGTTTCTTGCTTGGGTTGCTGTCGCGCGGCAGCCGACAATGTGGCTGGTAGAATATGTTTTCTTATTATTTTTACCCCAAGTTGTTTTCCCATTTGTGTGTATAATTTTTGTACAACAAAGAAAATAAAACCCGGCGACCCGGTGTCACCTTTTCCAATTGTATTTCGCTTCCCTCATGCATGTCTTATTCATTTTTATGTTTTACCAATGTGTTTAGAAATGGATAGATGTAATGACAGCACCAGAAGCTCGCTGCCGGTTTTGTCTCCTAAATTTTCGAAGCGACTGTGCAGTGGTTATAATCAGAATTTACCAGCATGGATCCCGCATCCAAAATGCTATTTTTGCCGTGACTGCATGCAGGGTTCAGGGTTTTTGCCTTGAAGGCGTGTGTTTTCACTGGAGTTCTGAGGCCTGGGATGTTTTCCAGAGCCATACAAAATCGCTGAGACTGACCGCGTCTCTCGTATTTCACAGCAAGGTCGCACATCCACTAAAAATCGGTTAAAGTGAGTTGTGTGTTGGCATGAGTGGAAAGTCCTAGCACACTCGTACCAAGACAGTGGAGACCCGACAGTGGAGGTACCGATATTTTTCACCCCCCCCCCCCCGATCAGGGCATTCTCACAGTCTGTTGTTTAAGGCTATGGTTTACCCGATCATATCGACAACGGCAAGGCTGTGCCCCTGGAGGTTTTTAGGGCTTTGGTCGAAGGACAGTTTGGACAAATTGTGTCCCTGGCAGGCCATGTAGATCAGATGCAGGGGGAGCAAGCTGTCTCCACTATGGCCCCTCGGTCGTCAAATAGGAAGAAACGCAAAAGGCATGAGGTGCATTCTAAACATGTCTCTTCCCGGGAACCCACCGTTCCCAGCCACGTTTCTCCCGTTAATTAGGATGAAGGCGAGGCTCAGGCAAGTGGCACTGGGTCTCCACCAAGACCTTGGGCATTGAATACCAATGGGGATGCTGGCAGCCAAGCCTCCAATTTCGGGTCAGAGCAATTGGGACAGGACGCATGTTGCGCCCCCTCCCTCCGATCAGCCAGCCTGGGTTCCCTGTGCAAAACTGGAATCAGGAATTTACCCTTGAGTCTGGGCTCCCCCGTGGGTACCGACTCTCTTCCGACCCACAGGCGTTCCCAAAGTGGACTGACCCTGTCATGAGACGCACAGTCTAACACGCTCTCGCTCACATTTTTTGAAGGGAAGCAGTTCGTCCACTTTGGATATAGTGGGTACTTCTGGCAAAGCATCCCCGTCGGAAAAGGGCGCCATTCACAAGGTAGATCAGCCGGCATTAAGTCCAGGCTTCTACTCAAATGTGTTCGTAGTACCAAATCTACAAGTGGCGGGCGTCCAGTTCTGGACTTAGGCAGACTGAATCAGTATGTGCTCCTCGATCGGTTCCGCATGGAGACTCCAAGCAGCATTCTTCTCTCCATCCACCTTTTCGACTGGCTAGCCTCATTAGACTTAAGCGGGGCCTACCTACACATACCAATGCACCCGGCGAGTTGCCATCTCATTCGATTCGCCCAGCTGGGCCAAGTATTTGAATCTCGTGTGCTTCCCTTTTTGTGTTATGCACAGCTCTCTACATTTCACCAAAGTGGATGAAACAAATGGTGCTGCTGCTTCACCAAACGTCGGTACACATAATCCGTACCTAGCCCTAGACGACACAACCCAAACAAGGGGTTATTAGCTGATCAAGTAAGGCTAACGCAGGATTTACTTCACCAGTTGGGCTCTTTAGTAAATCAGACAAAGTCCAATCCCTACCCAACACAACAGTTGGTGTTTGGTACATCTATTTCAGGTATGTTGCCTGGTGCTAAGCAATCTAGCCGAACGCCTAGTCAACGTTCCCTCAGTGTCCCTCCGAGAACTAATGCGGATCATCGGAATGATGACATCAGTTCGAAGGGTAGTTTTCCAGGCATTATGTACAACGCATGTTGCTACAACGCTGAGCACACCTACGGGAACTGGAGAGGCGAGTTTCCCTCGGACCAAGCGAACTGAACTTAGCACTACCACACTTTCTACCCGTAGTTCCAGACCACAGAGTCCTGCTCCGCACAGACAACACAGCAGTGGTCTCCTACATAACAAGGAGGGTACGCGTTCCCCATCGCTGTCAGTCCTAGCAGAGCAAATTCTCCTTTAGTGCCTGGAATACAATGTGGAGCTAACCGCACACCACCTTCCAAGGGTAAACAGTCTGGCAGACACCATTTTAAGGTGGCTCCGTCTCCAGAACGTGGAGTGACAGATACCCCTGTGGGTAGCCTGCAGGCTGTTTTGGGCTTTGGGACGGTCCAAAGATATACCTGTTTGCCACACCCTGGAACGCCAAGCTCCCGACGTACATAACACTCATGGTGACTCCAGGAGCCTGGCCCAGGGACGCGTTGTCGATCTGGTGGACCCACATAGATGCGTACGCCTTTCCTCCCTTCTCGCTAGTTCACCGTGTACTGGAGAACTTTGACTGGTGGCACCCAATTGGCCAACCAAGGCCTGTTGGAAATGCTAGTCGAAACACCAGTAGTGCTTCCAGACTTACAGGATCTGCTGTCCCAACCAGACAGCGCACTACCAACGAGCCCACATGCTTAGAGGCTCTCAGTAGACTTGCACAGACGAAAGGTGTGTCTGAGCGGGCTGCCAACGTCCTGGCTAGGGCGAACAGGGATTCCACCCATGCTGCCTACAACTCAAAGTGGCGAGCATACAGTTATCGGTGTAGTGGAAGGGAGATTGATTCATGCCTTCCCTCTGTTGGCCAGGTAGCAGACTTCTTCGTCCACCTGTTTGACAAAGTGGGTTTGTTGGCTACAGGTCGGCCTTGTCCCCCATCATTGAGAACGCTTTGAAAACAAGACTAGTCGATTGTCCTATTATTAGGACTGCTTTCTATAATCAAAGGCTGAGACCCTGAACTAGTGAACCGCCCAACTGGGATTTGTTGGTTGTGTTGTCCGCTTTAAGCAGACCGCCCTCCCCGATCAGCACCACTCAAACAGTCTTCCTACTGGCCCTCGCCTCAGGTAGGCGTCGGTCAGAACTGGGGGCATTGTCCTTCTCGAACGGGTGTGCCGCCTTCATGGATTATCAAGTTATGCTAAAGACACAAATTGGGTTTCTCACCAAAACACCATCCTCAGCTGATCGTTATCCCCTGGCTGTCAAATATTGTTGGCCTGAAAGATCAGGAGGAATTGCTTCTCTGCCCGGTTCGAGCACTGAGTTGCTACCAAAACGATACTAGGGATTTGAGACGTGGTGCCAAGCACATGTTTTTGTGTTACAGACAAAACATGCAAGACAGGCCAGCCTCCCTGACTTCTATCGCCAGAAGGATTACTGCGACTGTGTTAGAAGTCTATAGTTGCTCGACACAGAACTTGCAGAGATGCCAAGTACAAGCACATGAGGTTCGTGCAATTGCTAACTCACTAGCGCTAGCGTCAGGCGCCCCCCTCGGAAATATACTAAGGACAGGCTTCTGGAGAACGCAAACGTCTTTATTAACTACTACCTAAGAGACACCCAATCCAATGAGAAGGGCCTCTTTAGGTTGGATCCCATCTTAGTGGGTCAGACTGTGGTTGCCGGCCCAGTCTGAACGACCACAAGGGTTCCTGCGCATAGGCCATGAGTTAGTTTCAGCAATTTTGTGGACAGATTTCTTTGCCGTCAGCACTCCCGGGAGCTTCCAGGTCTTGCTTCTCGGCCTATGCCCTCATGCAGAACTGTTTGGGTCTTTACTTCGAAAGCATGCTACCCCCTAAATTGGTTTTTGTGTCTAGCTTTCTCGGGCACACCGAACCCCATCACCGTAGCAGCATTTTGGCTTTTACTCAGGGGATGGCACAGGCAAGGCAAGACACCACCTATTTTTGGGTCTTAACTACATGTGTAGGTGATAGTTGTATTTATGGAGAGTATCATCCCAGACTGGGAAAAACTTTTCATCTTTTTCTGTTTGCTCAGGAACCCAACACCTATCTGCGTCTGACTCGCCTACAGTTCAAAATAGTCATTTTGACTGACCAGAGTCTATGGTTTGTAATTGAACATAGTGAATTTAGGCAAGGGTTCTCCGAACCCGCCTGTTCACATAGTTCATACCCACCATAGACTCCGGGTCTCCCCAATCACCCCACTCTTTCCGTAGCGTTGGCCTAGTCCTCGGTGCGGAGAGAGAAGGAACCAGAGTGAAGATAGAGGTAAAATGGCATAAGAAAAAATCTTGGGGTCATGGGGCTTCCCCTGACTTAGATTTATCTCTCTGTCATTGGCAGAATCACTGATTAATGCCTACAGTTCAAAATAGTCATTTTGACTGACCGGAGTCTATGGTGGATATGAACTATGTGAATAGGGGGGTTCAGAGAACCCTCTGCCTGAATCGGCTATCTTTGATCTGATCATGAAACGAATCATCATGGATATGTATCCTAACATGTATACCGGTAATGCATGTACAAAATTTGAACTATAATTATACAAAGTATGTATTAACAGGGATTGCGTTAACCCCAGATTTTGCTTCTGGGACTCCAATTATTGAAGAGGAACCCAGTTTTTGGGGTCCAATCTCTAATAAAGTTATCCAGGGTCAAATTTCAATTTCTTAAAATGTTGTGAGTGGGACTTGTCTTGCTGAGACACTAGCGCAAACCTTGTATACGATACCACATTTTCAAAAAATAAAATGGTGCCAGTCAGCTATCTTTAATCAGATAGTGAAATGAATTGTCATGGACATGTATCGTAACATGTTTAATGCATGTACCCAATTTGAAAACTGACAAAGCATGAATATGATAGATGTACATGTACCAGATTTTCAAAAAACAATATACATGTAGCTGCCAGTCAGCCATCTTGGATTGAATCAGTAAACCACTGCATGTGCATGTGTCCCAGATAAATTACCAGGCACAGATTTGGTCCAGATTTGATTTGGATTCTGAAATATTACTCCGGACGGACAGACACCGAATAAGTCTAATAAAGACTAATAAATTAATAAATAATTATGTATTCAGTAATCTTTTTAGTCCCTGGTGTATGTGTTGCGTAATTAATCGCGTGCATTGAATATTATTTTGCTTTTATAATTATTAATTTGCTCTTGTGATAATCTTGAAGAAACACAAAATCACGGTTTCGACAGATTGTCGGCGATTTTGTCAAAGGAAATTGATAAGATGGTGCAAAACAGAATAAACATGATTACGTCAAATCGCGCCGTAACCATTCTGCAAAAATGCAACAATGTCACGGCGGTTCACAATCCCTTCCGTAAACTGTTCTTCTTTGAAAGATGGCACACCAGGAATGTCTTCTAAAATAGTCTTTAAGGCTAATTTCAGCTTTTCCTTAGCAACCATGGCAAAATTTTATGAACAGTTACACACAACAGTCTAAATTGAGACGCACACTGACACCGAGAACTGAAAATGGCGCCAGTCAGGTGATATAAGTAGAGTGGGCATTTGATTTACACTCGAGTCACCCAATCAGTGCTACATCTATTTTATGAACAGCGCTCTCAGTTCCGATAGCAGTCAGACTGGAGTGTTGTTTGTGTAGCATTATCCTCCCGAGCGGACAGTAGTGTACCTTGGCCATTTATGTTCAAATGTATAGTTACAAACCAAGACATAATGGTATTCTTTTGCACATTTATTTCAATATATCATGAATCATTTTTCATTTCGTGATGATATATTCAATAGCCTATTTTTAACGAATATTTTTGTGTTTTAAGTCAAAAATGTTATTGTTGAGTTTTTGAAAACCTCTACTCTGATTGGTTTGATACTTTGTATATATATGTGTTCCTTGTACGTATGTGTTCTATTAAATTTAAACATTTTGTGACAAATTTCCAATTCCGTGATTTTACTGAATACATTTCTGTTCTTTTTGGTAAAAAATGTTGTTAGCCATCTTATTTTTTTGCTTTGATACTTGGTATAAAAAGACCTTGGGAGACCTCTATTACATTTAAGTATTTTGTGACGATATCTTAAATTCTGTAATTTAGCAAATATTCTCGATATTCTTTATGGGAAAAAAAATTCGATACTTGGTGTATTTGCAACTTAGGTATTTTTAAACTTAATAGTATCTTTATCAGTGATAAAATCTAAACACAGAAGTTGAGACACTTAAATAGAATTTAAACAAAGCCACTTCGGTATTTATTTAACTATGCATGCAGTTATTATTGCTAGATTGGGCTCTGCTTCAACAGTGATATGTTGACCTTCAGGTCACTTGTTTAACTATTTAACCAACCAATGGGCAACCAACCATGTCATGACATGACTTTTTGTTTTGCTCTGCTGTCAATTTTGTTGAGCGGAGCCACTTGCATCAACGTTTTACTTGTTCTTGAAAACTACAAGCCTACTTGCTTTGATGCTTGGTTTACATGTATATGTACCTTGAGTAAATGTCACTTTTTCATTTCATGATGATATCTTAAATTCTCTAATTTGGATAAATATTTTTTGTCATTTTTGGTAAAAAGTGATATTTTCGACTTGTTAAAAACTGCAAGTCTGATTGATTGATAT